TTCTTCTCACTAATAGTTGCCCAATAATTGTGCACACATAGATATTCTCCTAAAAAAGACAAAACTACACTTTTACTTTCTTAAATATTCAGGTTTGAGGTTTATTAGCATTTTGGATTGACCGACAACACTGTAGTTATTGAATAAGAAAATTAATCTTCCAAAATACAACTTGCCTAATAACAAAGAAAGAAGAGGGTGTCAAGCTATTTTCCAAGGCGCCTGAAGGCAGGACAAGAAGCAATGGGTGGAAACTAATCAAGGAGAGAAGTAACCTAGAACTAAGGAGAAACTTCCTGACAGTGAGAACAATTAACCAGGGGAACAACCTGCCTCCAGAAGCAGTGAATGCTCCAACACTGGAGGTTTTTAAGAAGAGACTGGACAGCCATTTGTCCGAAATGGTATAGGGTTTCCTGCCTGAGCAGGGGGCTGGACTAGATGACCTCCAAGGTCCCTTCCAACTTTACTATTATTATTATTATTATTATTATTATTATTATTATTATTATTATTATTATTATTATTATTATTATTATTATTACTATTACTATTACTATTATTATTATTGTGCCCAAAGTGTAGTCAATCCCCAGAATTCAGTCCCAAACCAGTTTGGAAATCTGATTCAGTTTAAAGAAAGTTCTATAATTATCTTGAAAATAATGGGGATCAAATTTTTGTAAAGCACTCATTTGTTTATTTATTTTTATTATTTTTTAAAATCATTATATATATATATATGTCACCCATCTCACTGTTACAGTAACTCGGAAGGGGAGCCTTACAATATAATAAAAAGAGAAAAAAGATAGTACAGAACAATTAAAATAAAGAGCATTAAATAAATTAAAAACCAAGAGGATGGGTAACAAGGAGTAGAGATCGTCTCTCTACCCTACCAGTCACTCCCATAGTAGTGCACCTCTCCAGAGCAATTGGCAGAGCGAAGTTTTAAGACTCTTCCTGAAGATCCGCAGGGTAAGTGTGGACCTCACCTTCAGGAGGAGAATATTCTAGACAGTGGGGGCCACAGCAGAATAACCTCTTCTCCTGAACACTGCCAGGTCTCTTCTGCTAGAGAAACTAGGACGGGTTTGTCATATTGGAACGAGACAGCTCCACTAGACCAATGGTCCCCAACCTATGGGCCACAGCCCACTACCAGAGCGTGGCCTCTTAGCCACTCAGTAATGTGAGTGGCTGGCCAGTATGAGTGCATGTGTGTGCGCGCTCACCCCCTCTTGCACCAGCACTATCATTGCTGTGAGCCTCTTGCCAATATGAGCCTCACCACGAGCCTTGCGCCCATGCCACCAGCCCCATTTGCGGAGTGCTCATGCTTGCTGCCCCATTTGTGCACACGCGTGCACAGCCACATTTCCATCTGTGTACATGCACACATTAAGGTTCCTGCCCCTCCCTTTTCCACTGGGCAACCAACCCAGAAATGTGGGTGCCCTACACCCACTCCATACAAGGCTTTAAATTCACCTTGAACTAGACCCAGAACCAAACTAGCAACCAGCGCAGCTCATGTAAAAGTGGTGTTAAATGTGCCACCCAAGGAATCTCTAGAAATAGCTGTACCACTGGATTTGCTACCAGCTGTAGATTACGAACATTCTTCAAGGGTAGCCCAAGTAGAGCACATTGCAGTAATCCAAATGAGAGATTACAAGGGCATGAGTGACCCTGCACAGGTCCTCACAATCCATGAAAAGGTACAATTGGCAAATAACATGAAATTACACAAAGGGTCTCCTAGCCTTGATGCCACCTGCTCTTTCAATTGGAGTCATGAGTCTGGAAGAACCCACAAACTGCACACAGGACCTGTCTGGCACCATCCAGTTCCGATTCCCATAGCCAGCTGAAAAGGATACCATGGTTGATGGCATCAAAAGCCACAGAGGGGAAAAGAAGAGCAATGATGGACATGCTATCCCCCTCCAACTCCCTCCAGAGATCATCCACAAGTATGGTTAATGCTGGACCTACAGTGCAACCATTTTTTCCACTACTTTCCCCTTCACTAAAAAGGGGAGATGGCAAACTGGACAGAAATTGTCAAGATAGGTGTGGTTCAGTGAAGGAGACTTAAGGAAGAGTCAGATCAAGGCCTCCTTAAATGGTGCTTTGAATATCCCCTCTGCAGTGATGTGGCATTTTGTCACTCTTAGCACCACGAGATAAGGACTTAATGGCAACTCTGATCCATGTCCAGTCATAGGCATTTTTTGTATTCCTCCAGTGGCATTTGTTTCTTGGCCATTTTCAACATCCTCAACTCCTCCATAAACCACTGGAGTATAGGAAGCGATGGGCCAAGAGAGGGCACATGGGCACAATCCTGTCCATGGCTGCAGCTGTTTTCTGATTCCAGGCTGCGGCCAGAGCCTCCAAAGGGCCACACAGCAGATCCCCCAGGACAATCCCACAGCTCCTTCTGGAATCTGAATGGTCCATCAGTCATCAAGAAGGGACTATGTGAATAGGTCCAGCCTCCCTGCAGAGGGGGAAGTGCTGGAAAATCTCAAGGACACCACTGTGTAGTCTGACCATGACAGAGGGAATAATGATAACTCCCAGAGCAGATCACATTGCCACTGATTTGACAAGAAGATCATGTCTTCAAGGGTGTCCACTGTCCTGGGTTAGGCCATGGATAACCTGAAAAAGCTGCCGTGATGGCCATGAACACTTAAGCTGCTTCTGGGGCTTGTCCCCGGCACCTATTTATATTCCTACCCATCACTATTTGAATTGCTTTTCCTAAACCCTATGAGATGATCTTCTACCCCTAAACCTGACCTCCCGCTGTGCTGGCAGGCGTGCCATTCTGCCAGTCACACAGACTCACCCAATGTGACATTTTCACTGTAGCTCTTACTGCCAATGGGAATCCAGCTTCTGGGCTCTATGTGTGTTGGAATTCCAAAGTTTGCTGCCATAACCTGGTGTTCAACACCAGATGGCTCCAAATCCATCTCTGATCTGTGGGATTTGTACTCCTCATTTCAATCTCTGATCTGAATCACATACTTCACTGTGAAGGCCACTGTTGATTCTCTGGGCCAGTTCTTGCTTCCAGTCCCTGCCAGCGTGACATCTTTCTGAGCTGTCTCCAGCTCCAGCTCCAAGCTGGCTGCTTCCTATACCTTCATCAGCTTTCCACCCTTAACACACACTCTTTGGCATGGCTTCCAGCCCTTCAACCCTTTCAGACTGGCACTGGGTCAGACTCAAGGCCACCTCTCTACTTCCCACCATTCTCATAGGAGCATGGTGGCTCACATGGTTAGAATGCTGGGCTGACAATCTGCAAGCCCTCGTTCGAGACCTGAGGGCTGCTTTGTTGTTGGGTGAGCTCCTGACATTTGCTCCCGCTCCTGCTGACCTAGCAGTTTGAAAGCTTGCAAATGTGAGAAGATAAATAGGTACCACTTTGGTGGGGACATTTAGGGGAAATGAAAGGAATCCCCAAATGAACGTTCCCCAGGCAACATGATCATACCAGTTAGTATTTTTAACATCTTGGTACTTCCAACATTTTACAATGATGAATAGTCTGTTCTCCTAGTTGTGTCCCTCAATGCTGCAGACAATGGCCCTAGATTGCCTCCCCACCCCTCCACCCCAAATCTGTGGCCAGGGGTCTGCACTAGTTGGCAGGATGAAAATACAAGCCTCAGTGGACTCCCAGCTCCAGACCAATCCCCTCTCTTTGCCACACCATTCTAGCTTGGTCTCTTCAACTTCTGGTCTCCGGTCAAGGAGCAGACCGAGCAGTAGCAGAGCAGGAAGATGGTAGGATTAAGGAGAAGACTGAGGGCTTCATTTGGTACCAAGTGGTAACCGCCTCCTCCCCCACAATTTCCCCATTCCTTCCCTTCATGGCAGGAAGCCTTGTGTTATGCATTTGCT